GCCTGAGGAATGCCTCCTTCTCTCTTCCTTAGCAGCACCCCCTCTCCCAAGCTTGGCTGAGTGGGTGGTGGAGAATTCCCCCAACCCCCACCTGACCAGCCTGGACAGAACCACCCTCCAGCCACTAACCCAGGCAGGCCCCCTCCAGGGCAGCCTGTCTCAGATCCTGGCGACTTTTCAGAGCTCTCTAGAGCAGAAGGTGACTGCCCTGGTGACTGAGGACAGCTGCAGGGGGGGAGGGGATAGGAGGCTCTTCAGGGTGGAGGAGGGGGAAGAGACAGCCCCCCCACTCCAACCCCAGTTGGCCACACCCTTCTCACTCCTACTTATCAAAGCTGCAGGGAGAATGTCAGACCTCGGCAGAAATAACTGTGCTGTCAGACCCTGGCGGAATCTAGAAAATTCTTCACCCATATCTTAGAGACGCGGTCACTGAGACCCAGAAAAAAGAAGGCACTTGCTCAAGGCCACACCGTGGGAACTAGAACCTGGATCCTTACTGCCCCCAGCTGTCAGCCCCCACGCCATCCTGGGCTTTGGGGCGGGGTCCCCACACTCACACAAGCCATAACTGAGGACAGGAGGATGGTCCCGGGACGGCAGCACCAGCTAGCTGAAGACTCCACCCAAGAGATGGGACCCTGGGCCTCTCCCACCTTTTAAGTGGACCAGACCCTGGTGAGTACCGCCCCCTAGGAGCTCAGCCAATTGTAAGTCAGTACAGGGATAGGGGCCACTGGAGGCGGGGTCAGTGGAATTTTGAAGCTAGTTCTGGAGCAGAGCTGACCAATCAGTTGACCCCATTCCTTCTTAGCCACAGCCCCAAGGTCCAGGCTCCACCTTCTATTCTCCTTCATCCCTCCCCACCCCCTACAAAAAAATTGTGCTGTGGCAGAGATTGGAGGAAGCCAATGGAAAATAGTTTGAGGATGAGCTAGGTCCAGGAGTCGGCGGGAAGGGCCTGGAGGCAGCAGGCTAAGCGCAAGGGGTACTCAGAGAAGACCGCTGAGGGGCTGCATGGTCCTTCAGGGATTTAGAGCTGGGGTTCCTGAGGCAGCGCCCTGGCAGGGGCCAGGGAGTGACTTCCTCTATGGGTCTCTGCAGAGGGCCCAGGACCCATCAACCACAAGGCTCTGGCCCTACCCGGGCCTCCCCCGGAAGCAGAGGTTGTGGCTGCCACAGCGCGTGCTCCTCGCTAACACTAAAGAGAGGCTGGGCGGGATGCCAGGTCTGAGGCTGTGGCCAGGATTCAGGGCTCAAGCCTGGGCCCTCCTGAGGGACCTGCTGGGGATCCTTCAAGAGCCCTTGCTTGACAGCCTCTGGCCTGAGAGAGTCAGGCTGGGAGGGAGCCCAGGCTGAGCCCAGCCATGAGGTGTTAGGGTCCCTGCTCTGTGATCTGGGGAACAGCGAGTGTCTGGCCGTGGCTGGAGTTTAGGGTATGATGGGGAAAGATGAGGCATGAGGCTGGGAGGCTAATGGTACCTGGATCACATCAGGCCTCATCGAGGGGGTTGGACATTGTTTTATCTGATGGTGCTGGGGAGCCACAGAAGGTTATAGGGAAGTTGAATATTGAGGCCAGATTTGGGCTCAAGGAAGATCACTGTAGCAATAGAGTTGGGGGTATTGGAGGGGTGCTCACTTCACGCCCAGGAGCCAGGTGGAGAGTGGCATGGGGAGCACTGGGCGGGGTGGGAGGCTTACTAGGGGAATTGTCAATGGGACCTCCTTCTTCACATCACTGTCCCCTTTCTGAAATTGTCAGCACCAAAGAGGGAGGAAAATGTGGACCACAAGTGACTCATATCTGGAGGCTAGGCCAGCAAACCCGCCCTGCACTTCGATGCCTCCCCGGTCCATCTGCCATTGCTCCTCACCCCATCGGCCAATTTCCCCCCAGATGGCGGAAGCCCACTCTGGCACAGGTGGAGTAGGGATTGCATGGCACTTGGAGGTAGGACCAGAGAGGGGACTGGGCCGCACCCCCTGTGAGCCCCTTACCCCTCCTCCCAGCCTAAGCCAACTGCCTCACAAACCAACCACAGCAGCTTCAGTTTTTCCTCCAGGGCCTTCCCAAAACCTCAACCTAAGGAGGGCTGGGTGGGGCCCGGCTCCACTGCCTCTCTGCTTTCCCTCCAAGGGCCACAGGCACCTTCTCCGCCTGATCAAGGAACTGGGGCATTTCAGGAGGAGGCCTAGACCAAGAACAGAGGTGCTTCAGACACAGTCCTTGCCCGACTGCCACCAGGAGAATATGGCTGGCTGTTCTGGCCAGTGGTTGGGCTGTCAGTTCCCCAAGAACTGCTTCTCCGGTCTTCCCCCAACCCGGAGAACACACCCAACACCAGAGGATGTTTGCTGTTGGACCAGGGGCTGTTTGACTCTTCGGTGTCTGGCCACCGAAGGCTGGTAGAGTGTGAATAGGCCCCCAGAAGGGCCTCCTTTAGGAGTCTAGAGACGGGTTTTGGTCCTAGGCTGTTGCAGGAAGCGACACCCCGACAGAAGAATTGGGATTCTCAGACAACATTGTTTAGAGGAAGGAGAATTTATTAGGCAGGCGGAGCATGTGGGGTTAACAACTCCATGCACAAGCTCGCTCTAGTTGGATTTATTACAGCTTATATACTTTTGCAGTGTCTATGCAAGGGGCACGTGATTCCTTTGTCTGAGGTTTTATATGTCCCTCCTTACTCAGAGTGGGGAGGGGGGGCTTCGGGTGGGAGGGCTGCAGGGGAGGAATTTCTAGACCCCTGGTCTTACAGGTTGTTTGTCTTGTAGAGTCTGAGACCTTGGTGTTATCAACACTATTATCGGATTCTTGAACAGAGAGTCAGGACTCCTAGCTTACAGACAGGGAGCAGCACTCATTGATGTCACACCGCTCAGTGGGTTCCTTATCCAAAGACTGAGCTCTAACTGTAACACAACAAATAGTTCCACACAGTCTTGACATTCATACACAGCTACAGAGATAAGGAAGGGGCTGGAGAATCCTTGAGGCGGGGGATACAGCTGTGGAAAACACGTTAACTGAAGAGCATAGGGCAGAATGGGGGAAGAGAGAGCGGTTTTAACTGGCTGAGTCGGTTATTCCTTCAGGCCCTTTCCTTTGCATTTTTTCAGATGCCTCCTCTCCTCTCTCAAGGCCTGCCACACCCTCCCCAAGGCATTCTGGGAGGTCCCTTCTCCCTGCTTGCCTCAATTTCCCTGTCTCTAAATTAGGAAGGTTAAACCCTGCTCTCTGCACTAGGTTAGTACAGGGTGGAGTTCTGGTCGGTTGTACTAAATAGATGATTATTTTTTTCATCCTCTCAGGTTTTAGCTTTTTGTCCCAGGCTGTTTACCTTCCTGGGGTCAACACCTCTGGAAGGTCCCTCCACCCCAATCTGATCCCTGTCAGTCCCCTCCTGCCTGGGCTAGGGCAGGGAGTCTCTCCAGATTCCAGTGTTCCCAATAACAGAGACTGTAGTTTTTCTGGAGGAGGGACAGGGACAAGGTACATTGTGTGGTGGCGCCCACTTATCTGCCCGGCCTTGTGCCCGGCGCCTCACTTTCATACATTATCTCATTTCGTGTTTGCCTCACCTCTTCTTGTCTGCCAAGTGGACCGAAAGGCACAGGGAAGCTGATCTGGGCCCTGAAATAAAGCTGATGTTACAATCAGGAGAACAGAGGCAAGTCTTGGTTTGGGGGCTGCCTGGCTGTGACTGTAGCCAAGTGCTTGACCTCTCCGAGCCTGTTTCCAGGCCTGGAAAGTGGGAATGTTACCCAGTGGCCGGCTGGTTGAAGGATTAGGGGAGTGATGTGTGAGGGGTTCGACATTCGTTCTCTCTCCTGCACCCCCAGGCCAGGGCCCCCTCCTTCAGGGACTCTCCTCCCCACATCATTGTCCCACAGCAGAGGGAGAGGGCTTCTGGAACTCCTGTTTTACTGACCTGACCTACAGACTGGAGCTTGGCTGCTGCATGAGAGATCTCAGCTCACCTTCACAGGGGGTCCAGGCCAGCATGACCCTTCCCAGCCTGCCCTGCCTTGTGCCCATGAAGGCTGTGTCTCCTGCAGCAGGCAGTGGTGGAGAGGGCTGCTGGGCTCACTGAAACACCACCCACGCCCCCTGCCTGAACTGCTCCCTCATTTGATGACATAGCAACCATCCAGCGAGGATGACTCCTTGACACATGTCACACAGGAGGCTAGGGCCAAAGTCATGTTATCTGTTGAGCCAAGGAAAGAACATTGTGGGCCTGGAATACTTGGACCTCAAATAATGATTCTTTTTGGGTCCTGCTCCTTGAAGGGTAGGAAGGACTAGTAGCAGGGGGAGGGGAACCCCCCTCAACTTCAGGCACTTTTCCAACTGCTTTTTTTCCAAGTGCAGGAGCTCACCCCCCACTCACCTTGCTCATCCTCCCTGCCTTTGCTTGTGCTGTTCCCCCACACAGACAGCCACCTCCCCAAATGCAGTGGTCGTTGGTCACTTTTGCCTTCCCACCTGGTTGGTGTCTGTCCCAGCTCTGATCACAGGCTCCAACTTGCCTTTGGGGAACCGCCCCTTCTCTCATGTGAGGTCTGGCTGAGGACAGGCCCTATCATTCCTTAGACCCTCAGGGCTCAGGCATGAGGCTTTTTTAGGGGTTTGGTTTTTTTTTTGAACTTTTTCTTTTGTCATAATTATAGACTCACAGGAAGCTAAGAGCTTTTTAAGAGCTTAGAAAATATTTGAGACCTGAAGAAAAAAAATGTCTTGGCTCCAAAATACTAAAACTGCAAAGCTGGAATTAATAAATGGTTGCTGTGCTCAAACTTAAAAGGTGGTAGCCATAAAAACTGTATTACATTTGAAAACGATTTTGTAGGTTAAATTTCCTTACTTCAAAAGTGGGCCTAAGTCTTCCTAGAGGTTAGTCACTCCTAAGTTAAATCCCCAGAGCCAGATACTGTCTAAATCAAAAGTATAAAAATACTTAGAAAAATGTATAGCAAAAAAAAAAAAGCCCTCCGTGTGTGTGTGTGTGTGTGTGTGTGTGTGTGTGTGTGTGTGTTTAATCTGGGATGTGGGTAATTTTTAATGTTTTCTATGATGTCCCTGGGGTCTGTGTAGTTTTTGGTTGCAAGTAACAGAAAGCTTGATAGAAATTGCTTTAAAATGAATGAAAACAATTCACATGAAAAGAAGTCTGGAGCTAGGAGGTTTCCATAATAGGTTAATTCAGTGGTTCATTGAAATCATCAAAGATCTGGGTTCTTGTATGATCGTGAGTTGTGGCCATATAGACAGTCCTTGCTCTTATTAGAGAGACAAGCTAAAGGCTTTGGGGTGAACTGTCTCAACATCTGCAACATACTCTCAAATAAATCAGTTAAAATGTAAATATATATAAAGAGCAATTAAGCAAATTGGGCAAATATCAACAACTGGGAATCTAGGTGAAAGGTATGAGTGTCCCTTTGCTGTTCTTGCACCTTTTCTGTTGGTCTGAAACTTTTCTAAATTAAAAGGTAGGGAGTGTCAGATAAGAAGAAATGTGTATTTGGTTTCTGACCCCAGTTACTGACACAGAGTTCCTAAAACCCTTGTAATTTCCTAAGCAATAAAGATGCTAAAAGCATCTTTTGTTCTACTATTTGGCCTATGACCCTGGTTCCTGATACGGAGCTACTGAATCTCTCAGAATTTCCTGGGTGGTAGGAGTGTCTTTTGCTCTAATGAGGTGACTCTCAGGTGGGATCCTCGATGCCCTCAGGATGGGGGCTGGTCACCAGAAAAGACCAGCCACGATTAGAAGCTTGGAACTTTCAGCCCCGCCCCCCATCCTCTGTGTTGGGGGGAGGAGAGCTGGAGACTGAGTTAATGACTCATCATGCCTATGTGATGCAGCCTCCATAAAAATCACAAGTTCAGGTCTGGAGAACTTCTGGGTTGGTGAACACATCTACATGCTGGGAGGGTGGCAGAAGCTTCTGTATGTGGGATGTTCCGGACCTCACCCCCCGTCTTCATCTAGCTGTTCATCTATGTCCTTTATCATATCCTTTATTATATAATAGCTGGTAAACATAAGTGTTTCCTTGAGTTCTGTGAACTGTTATAGCACATTATCCAACCTGAGAAAGGGATTGTGGGAACCACCAATTTAGAGCCAGTTGGGCAGAAGTACAGGTGACAACCTGAGACTTGTGACAGGCATATCAAGTAAGGAGGGAGTCTTATGAGACGGAAGCCTTAACCCATGGGTTCTGCATTAACTCCAGATGGTGCCAGAATTGAATTAAATTGTAGGACACCCAGTTGGTGTCTGCAGAAAACTGGAGAACTGCTTCATGGAGAAAACCCACACACTTGGTGTCAGAAGTATTCTGTGGGTAGAGGAAAGTTTTCCCTTTTAGCTGGCGTCAGAGAATTGGGGTTTGCTAGAACAGCTCTGGCTCATGGAAACATGTGGTTTGAGAAGGGAAAGGAATGGAAGAAAGGGTGAGCATGAGGAACCTTCAGTTCCTGGTGCCACGTTGCCACCTCAGCTGTGCTGTACTGTTACTAAAGTTAAAAGTTATCAATGGAATTTAGAAATAAAGTCTCAATTTATCTCCAGTTCTCAGGGAGTTGGTTTACTGGATGCAAGAACAAAAAGCGAAATATGTCGTCCTGTGCTTACGGTTATCTGTGATCGCTAAAATGAAATCAAGAGGGCTGCGTGGGACCTTGATACCAGACCACACTCAGATTTCAGGGAGTCCGAGTTTTGGCCACTAGCTTCAAAGCCATCCCCAAAGGGAACAATCATTCAGGGACAACGGGAAGTACTTCTAAGGTCACCAAGAAAGTAGTCAACATGGGGAAAAGGCAAAATCAGAAAACTATTGAAACCAGGGGGTATAGCGTGGAGTTGTTTCATTTTGTGGATTGGGGTCATCGGCTTCCTGAGATATTAACTGGAAATCCAAGTGAAGAGTGTCCTTGCACTTTTGGTCAGTATGAAACTTTTTAAAACCAAAAGTTGGGGGGAGCAACCCCAGCAAGTTCTTCCATCTTTTTGCTCTGTCAGCTGAAGCAGAGTCACGAAGCAGAGAAATATGTTGGGTCGTGCTTCAGAATCACCGAATGGCTGCAACAGCTTCTATACCCAAAGCTCAGAAGAGCGGGTCCTTCCTCCATGTCCTTCTTAAAGAGTGAGGCCAGCATTCCCAGAGTCTCCCCGCAGACCTCTCCCCATGTCTTATTGGTCAGAAGTGCATCACAAGTCCGTGGCTAGGGGAAATCAGGTGGCCATGATTGGCTAAGACTGAAGCTTCAAATAATCAAGATAGCTGAGATGCTACCCCTGACTCCTGACTTGCTTCCATGTGCTCCCCTGAAGGAAATCAGGATTCTGTCAGCAAGAAAGGTAGGGAGTAGCTGCTAGGTCCAGAGTGGGGCCAGGGAGGCAAGCACTGCCCTCCTGGCAGGGGAAGGCATGACTCAGGCTGGCCAATAGCTGTGCTCCATCCCTTTGGGCATAGGAACCCATGCAGGCCAAAGTCTGCCCTGGGATGTTGGTTGGGTGAGAAGCACCCATTGTCTGGGAGGAAGCAAGCAGAAAAGGATACCTAGAGAGTGCTGGACCACCTCAGTGTGGCAGCCAAACTCCCTCATACCTTAGCCCGGGTGAGCTGAGTTTCTGCCACGTCCAGAGGTATCCATGAATGCACATTTGCTCTGGCTTCATGATGCAGCCAGGCTGTCAAGCATGCTCTCTTCCCAAGAAGAATCACACTGAAGAGAATCCCCCAGACCTCCGAATCCCACCCTTCACTTTACACACGAGGAAGCAGGCTGAGCAGAAAGGGGCTTATGCAAGCTCAAGTGACAAGTGAGTAACAGGCAGGCCTGGAACAGTCATGGCATCCTCCCACTCAGCTTCTGTGGGACATACTGAGCTACCTTCGCAGCTGGGCACCCGCTCTGCACAAGGCACCAGGGAGGCAGCAATGAGCACCTGGCCTGCGGATGCTCACAGCCAGCAGGACAGCATCCCATGTGTGGAGGTGCCTGAGTTCCCAGAGGGCAAGGACACTCTCTAGATGTGTGCCCTGGTCTAAGGTAACATCGCATTTTCCATCCTGATTCCCCGAGTACTGTAGTGGGATGGGATGTGATACAAATTAGCTGGGTTCACTGAGGAACTGAAAAATCAACACATAAAGACTCAGCAAGAGATGACGTGCTACTGGGCTAGGGTACTACTGCATACTTTGTGCAGGTGAAGGTCGCAGTGGGCTAGTTCTGGGAAGACCAGGCTCAGTCAAGGACTCCTCCGGCCCTGCCTTGGACAGACTTGAACCCACACGGACGCTCCTACTCGCACTTTATTAAGTACGGAAGGACTGCTTACGAGTAAGGGTGGCAGGGGAGGCCCAGCCCCCATCCTCACCATCACCAGCACACGATAATAAATAGCTGGGGCAGGCACAGGGGAGACGTGGCACAGCAAACACTGGCAGCACAGGGAGGGACACGAATGCCCCCATTCCGAGCTGTGGCCACCACCAACACTGGACTGGCACCACGATGTGGGGGAGGGGCGGGGCGGGGGCAGGGCTCTCAGCTACAGAAGCCCCGAGCCACTGAGCGCCCCTGGACAGAAATCTTTGTGGAGGGGTGTCATCAGCACGTGGACCCTTATCAACAGGAATCTGGACCTCCGGCTGGTTTAGTCAGACCCATACTGTCAAGAAGCCACTGTCTCTGACTACTGGGTTGTTCTCTTCAGCATCGAAGAGACCAAGGGGTCATTACTACCTGCTGACTGGGCTACCCAGGATCTAGGACATGAAAGGGTCCTTATCACTTAGCCTTACCGATGAGTCCACCAGGGCTTTAGGACATCAAAGGATCATTATTGCTTAGGCAGCCATCTGGTCCACTCAAGACCCAACATCAACGAATTACTATGACTTAAGCTTTCCGATTGGTCTGTTCTGGGCTCAGGACAATAATGGTTTGTGGTTACCTAGATCTGATTGGTCAACAGGAACCCAAGGCCAGGATCTAGGGAACACAGGTAGAGCTCTAGAGACCCCAGGAGGGGTGAGAGAATTAAGTGCTCAGGGTTGGGGGGAATCTTCAGCCAGCATCGGGGCCCAGATTTCAACAAGGGGAGGTCACAGGGCAGGAAGTTAAGTCCACCTGGCTGGGTCAGGCCAGGGCAAACTGGTAGGAAAAGGGGGGCAGCTTCTGGGACAGCAAAGAGGACCCAGCCACTGCTGCGAGGGGACGCCAGGGCCCTAACACCTTCCCTGGGTTCCAGCCCCGCCAGGGTGTAGAAACTGGGGCAAGAGAGCCGGTAGCACTCAATGCAGCTCTCAGCCCATCACCTCCATCCGTGGCACCTGGGTGGGGAGGGGGTGGGGCTGTGGTTGCAGGTCAGCTGGGCTCAGTCCTCCAGCCCTTCTATCAAGTCCGCAATGCTCTCCACATAGTAATGGGGCACGAGGTCGTGCTGGCCGGCTGCCAGGTAGGCCTGGGCCTCCTCCAGGCGAGAGACGCCAGTGAGCGTGAGCACGGTGGTCATGCCACAGCGGTGGCCGAAGAGAATGTCGGTCTCCAGGCGGTCGCCCACCATGAGTGTGCGGGCAGGGTCCACGCTGAAGTGCTCCGTGATGCACTCAAACATGTATGGGCTGGGCTTGCCCACCACCAGGGCCTGGCGTCCCGAGGCTGTCTCCACGGCGGCAGCCAGGCTCCCAGTGCCTGCAGGGAGACGGAGACTCGTCAGTGTGGGGGGCGGCAGGGAGGGCGCCCGGGCCCTGGGACTGGAGCTCTCAGGGGGGCGGCTTGGCATGGGGTTGCAATCAGGCACTGAAGTGAGTCAAAAGGCCTGCTTCCCAGTCTTAGCGTAGTGGGGAAGAGTCCGACCTCTGCAACCAGATGCCTGCATTCAGACTCCATCCTTACACTTCTCGGGCAGCTTCTCCCTCCCTAACGTGGCACTTATCTCATGGGAGACTGAACGAGCCACTGCATGTAACTGAACCTGGGTCAGTCAGTCCTGCCTGAGGTTCACTATTTCACCCAGGCAGCTGTGTGCCTTCGGGCAAGCCACTCCACCTCTGAGTTTCCTTGGACACGCTGAGAAAGGAGGATCTAAGGGACACGCACCTTCAGAGAGGCACCGTGAGCATCACGGGGGCAAGTGCTTTGGAAACGGAAAGGCACCTCCCAAGCCGCAGTTGTGGTTATTGCTACAAGAATGTGCGCTCCTGGCATCGGGAACTGGCATGGCCCTTTTGGAACTCAGCAGGGCACAGAAACGTTTGCACCTTTGACCCAGTCAGCCTCCGCTAGGGCTGTGGTCACAAGGAGAGAATTCAGACCCGAGACAAAAAGCTACATGCTTACAGACGTCCATGGCCACAGTAACTGTTAATATCCCAAACTGTGGACCACGCCCGAGTGCTTAACAATAGGAGGACTGTTTAGGACAGTTCTGACTCCCGACCCAGTACCATCCTGCCCCGCACAATGAGTTCACTGTGCCCATCCCACAGGCACGTCGCTGTGCCAGAATGTTCTGCCTTCACACTAATGTCCCTCAACAAATGATGATGATGATCACAATTTACTAAGCACATTCTAAAGTGCCAGGGGCTGTGCTGGGTACTCATGGAAGCCCATTTTACAGATGAGAAAGCTGATGCTCAGTGATATTAAGTAATTTGTCCAGAGTTGCACAGCTTCATGAGTGACAGATAAAGAATAAGCATTCATGTAGGTCTGGCCCAGTTATGTGCTGGACCAGCTTGTACTGGTTTCAGAGTGATGAATGTTGCATTTTCAGGAATTCTGTGAGCTGGTGATTAAACAAAGACCCTATTTAAAAGTCCACTTATATAAACTTACAATTAAATGAATTATGCTTAACACAAAAGTAATAAATTCTCAAAACTCATCACTTCCTAATGATTTCACCGTTATCTATGCTCTCGAGATGATTTATATCTCTACCGATAGAAATACTATATAATGGGGTGTACACATCTTCCAAGCTCTGTGTTCAGTGACTTCAGGTTGGGAGACTGAAAATTCGCTGCGGTGGGAGTATTTACCCCACAGACGTTGGCGAATGGTATAAACCAGGGCTCCCCAAATTTCTAAACATTTATCAGTACACCGCTAGTCTGACCCCAAGTGCTCTGGCCTGCCTCCCTTCTCACAGCACAGTTAAGCCAAAGGCTCAGAAGGGTAAGGCAGCCCTGGACAAGGAGGAACTTCCTTGTGTCACAGGACCAGGGCAGGGCTGGCCCACAGGGACACCACGGGGAGGTTCTCCCTGACATCTGACTTAGAATTCACCTGCTTGTTTTCATGAAGAACTTAGTAGGGAAGAAAAGCCGTTTGCCCTCTTGGTGAGAGATTCCTTCCAGTATGGGAAGGGCTCATCTGAGTCACCTCAGAGTGCTTCTTTCAGCTCAAGAAAGGTCTCAGCGGTCAGCTCCTTCCTTTCCCACCAGGACAGAGTGGATCACCCTCGGCCGCCCATGTCCCGCTTCATCCACTCAGCTAGTATTTACTGAGGCCCAAATACACACCAGGCACTGTGTCAGGCACTGGGCTAGGGCAGTGAACTCAGCGAAGATCCTGGGGGAGCGAGATTCCTAGCAGGGCAGTCAATGTAACTCTGCCCTCGGACCACCACGATTCCCTTCTCCTGACATCTTATGACTTAAGACTGTCATGTTTTGTTGGTGACGTATTCCTAAGACAGCAGGCATTTCTATTTGCCAGCTCAAGTGGCTTCCCTGTGGTTACAAGGTAAACATACAATTGAGGAGACCCGCAGGGGAAATTGGGGTGAGAGATTTGCATTATTTCAGATTTTATGAATAGTGGGCGCCTTTCTTCGTATTTGTATACCACCATCTCAAAGCTGTGCCATTCAGTGCACGAACAAGACAGCAGCGCTGTATTTGTTAAGCCTCTGCCTCCCTCTCTAGGCTGTGGATGTGACCAGCAAGGCCGGCAGGCACAGCCAAGTGTGTGCCGAGACAGAAGGGGCAGGCGTGGACAAGGCCTGGTCTCTCCCCAGCTCTTCCATACCACCCTTCCTGAGCCCAGGGGAACCTCTTAACCCACAGCCTTAGCCTGTGCTTTGAGGCCTCCAGGGAGCTTACTTTTTGTAGCATGGCCTAGGGCAGGCAGGAGCTGCTGTAGCTTGGAGCCTGACCAGGGTCATTGCCTTAGGTTTATGGGGAAACTGAGGCTGAAGTGGTCATGCAGCAAGTAGGTCTGCAACAAAGCTAGGACAGGCCTAGAACTATAGATTCCTAGCCTGGAACTATAGATTCCTGCCAGTTCCCCAAATGCCCTGTTCTGCAAGATGCCTCCTCTAGGAAGCCTTCCCAAATCCCCTTAAGCTCTAGGCCCTCCCCGCCACCCCATCATAATACTGTCTACTCCTTAATCGGTAGGTACCATCCTGACCCACAGGGATTTAGTATCAATGACTGGGTCAATGACAAGCAGTGACCAGCAGGGAGTGATGGTTCTGCCAGTTCCCCAAATGCCCTGTTCTGCAAGATGCCTCCTCTAGGAAGCCTTCCCAAATCCCCTTAAGCTCTAGGCCCTCCCCGCCACCCCATCATAATACTGTCTACTCCTTAATCGGTAGGTACCATCCTGACCCACAGGGATTTAGTATCAATGACTGGGTCAATGACAAGCAGTGACCAGCAGGGAGTGATGGAGATCTGTCCCTGCTCTGAACCTGCTGACTGGGGTACTGACCTGTCCACACACACACTGCTGTCAGTTAATCTCTACTACCATCTGCTTGTCTACCTTGAAACCTCTAAGAGCGTACAGCATTTACCTGCTCCTGCTTCCTCTGTAGGTGTGAATGACAGCAGTGAAGAGTGCCTTGGATGGAGGAGGTGGGGGTTGGGGTGGCTATGAGAGCCAAAGTCAGGTCCCTGTGCTCTTGGGCAGCTTACTTCCCCTCAGCTTCAGTTTCTTTAACTGAGAAATGGGACAATCACCCCCATCTCCAGAGTAATTTGGAAACTAAATCAGAACAGACACCGAGGTGCTGTAACATGACAAGGCTCTGGATACAACTTATATCATCTGAGCACCTGTGTGTCCAGATCACTCGGCCTCCGGATGAAACTGGCACGGTGAGCATTCCCATTTTACAGCCAGGACAGAGATGCTCTGAGGTTATGTAACTTAAGAATATAGAACCCTGGGGCTGGAACTGTAACTCAGGTCAAACTCCAATCACCTCCTATGCTTCCGCACACATGACGCTGGAAATGGTGTTCAAATCCTCCAAAAAGGGGACAATCCTTCCAGGCTTTGTTCCCAAATGTGCGACCTCACACTGATGAGACAATAAGATAAGAGTCCTTGAGGCTGGTTCAGAAAGGGGGGGCTGGGAGTCGGGGGGGACCTGGATTCCACCGGCAATCCCAAGAGCCACAGTGGGCCTCAGTTTCCTCATCTGTCAAACGGAGACCCCACTGCTGCTCCTCACATTGTGGCGGCTGCAAGAATTACCAGACGTGGACATGAAAGCACCCTGGGCTCTTACTGGGGGGCGGCCGCCCTCGTAAGCATTCTGTTCCCCACTTGTCACCTGGAGACGCCCCTTCCCTGCCTCCCACCCCCAGGCATGGAGGTGAAAGCGAAGGTCGCCCCTCCCCTCGGTTTCCTCGCCAGCCCGCGCTCACCGGGGGTCCGGCTGCCGTCGCTGAGCGGGTGCCACGGGTCGCGGTCGGTGGCCACGAGTAGGCAGTCGGGGTCGCGCAGGTGCGCGCACGCCTCGCTCAGCTTGGCGAAGGAGAAGTGCTCGTCGTAGCCCACAAGCACGGCGCGCACGCGCAGGGCCGCGCCTGGGTCCTCGCTGGGGTCCCCCGCCAGTCGCAGCCCCGCGGCGCGCAGCTCGGCGCGGAGGCCCTCGCCGCCCAGCACGAACACGGAGCCTGGCGCGTCCGGTAGCCCGAGCAGGCGCTGGCGTAGCAAAAGCGCGGCGCACAGCGCAGAGCTGAAGAGCTGCTCGGCGCGCAGCCCCCCGAAACCGAGGCGCGCGAAGCGGAGGGCCAGCTCGGGCCGCGCGCGCCTGCTGTTGTTGCTCACGAACAGCGCCGCTTTGCCGGCCCGTGCCAGCCGCTCCAGCAGCTCCGGGGCGCCGGGCACAGCGCGGTCGCCGTTCCACAGCACTCCGTCGCAGTCGAATAGGACCCCCTGCGCCCGGCCTAGCACGTCGCGCAGGGCCGCGCCACACAGCCGCTCGCAGCACGCCATGCAGCCGAGTGGCTGCCCGCACGCTCGCGCCGCGCCGCTCTCACTCCGCCGGCACAGCGCGCTCGCCCGCACCTGCCAATCGGCACGCCGGAAGGTCCAGGGGGCGGGGTCATGGCCTGGCCTGCGGCCAGTGGGGGCGAGAGTCTCGGACAGCGGCGAGGGTGCTAGCGAACGCGGCTTGAAGAAAAGGGCGGAATCGCGGCCGCCACCGAGGGAAGGGGACCAATGAAGACCTAGTGTGGTCCTTCGCCCCGCCTCCCGGCTCTGTTGGGCCAGCCGCTGCCGAGTTTTAATCCCGACCACCCTCTTAGCGGGCGGGGAGTCTGGGAGACTGATGCGCTTCTTGACGAATAACGAGCTACGAGTAGAAAATGTCTCGAATAGCAGCCTTGAGCTCCCCAGCCAATCAGAAGCTTAGGAGGAAAACCGATGTAAAGATGTCTTTGGATCGAATCTAGTTGCCTTCTGAACCGTGGACGCTGCAGTTCGAAGTCCTGAGAAGTGTGTGGGTATAATGGGGAGACAGGCGCTTGGTGTCTTCTTGAGTGCTGGAGCCCTTGGCCTAGACCACCATGTCTGTAGAGTCCCCTGGAGCACTTATTTTTTTAAAATATAATTTATATACAATATATACAATAAGATACATAGATCTTAAATGTTAACTTTGATGACTTTTGATAAATGCTTTTTACATGGTAAGGCCCTAGAGATTCTGGTTTAATCGTTTAGGATGTGGCCTGGCATTTTTTGGTTTGTTTTTAATTACCCATGCATTCTACTGTGTGGCCAGGATGGAGGAACTGGCGATACATAGATCTTAAATGTTAACTTTGAGGACTTTTGATAAATGCTTTTTACATGGTAAGGCCCCAGAGATTCTGGTTTAATTGTTTAGGATGTGGCCTGGCATTTTTTTGGTTGGTTTTTAATTACCCAAGCATTCTACTGTGTGGCCAGGATGGAGGAACTGGCAGAGGCAGCCTGTCATCAAGCACCTCTGGGAGGGAAGGAGCCAGAGCAGCAGCGGCCAGTTGCCAGGGCAGTGATGGAGTGACCTGGCTGCCTGTGTCCCCACTTGGGGAGGTAAGTCATAATCCTGAGGTTCTATGCCAACTCTGAGAAGGCTCTGAACACCTGACTCCCAGAAGCAACTGGAACTTCAAAGACATGGGAAAAGCCACACCCCATCACCCAGCTTCTAAGGTCAGATACTTTCTGCTTCCCAATGCTTTTGGCCTTCGCACAGGTGCATAGGTGGTCTCCATGGCTTGGAATGTTCTTTTTCACCTGGCCAGCTCCTAAAAGACTCCTCTTGGACATCACCTCCTCTAGGAGGTCTTCCTTGACCTCCACTCTACACGTACACACTCATACACACACACACACACACACACCAGTCTGGGTTAGTCGCTTGCCCTTAACTGGGCTAATATGGATCCCCCACACCATGACACTTGATTCTCCCATCCAAGTACTAACCAGGCCCCACCCTGCTTAGCTTCTGAGATCAGATGAGATAGGGCGTTTCCAGGGTGATATGGCCGTAGACAACACTTAATTCTAATGGTCAGTTCTGCCTGTCTGTTCCCAGGAGCAACCTGGGTGTAGGGCCAAGTTGGGGACCTAGCCCAGGATCCTGCAGAGCAGCCTCAGGGGTGGTTTGTGGATAGATCCATCCCTGCTCCTGAGGGGAGCCTTCTCTGCCTTCTCTGGGAACACTGCAAATTGGGGGAACCGGCATCAACAGGAGCCATCACTTATAAGTCTTATAGGGCGCTTCTGTGTGCAAGGTTAGTGCTTTGGTCTTCATAGGAGTGTCTCATTGAATTGTCAGAACAACATTTATGTGGTGCAAGTTGTCACCCAGTTTCCCAGATGAAGAAACCAGAACACCAAGTGTTAGTGCTTTGGTCTTCACAGGAGTGTCTCATTGAATTGTCAGAACATTTCTGTGGTGCAAGTTGTTACCCAGTTTCCCAGATGAAGAAACCAGAACACCAAGAAATCAAGTAGATTGCCCGGGAAGTGAGGGTCAGGCCCAGGCTCCAGAATCAGTCAGACCTGGGATGTCCGTGCCTCACTTGCCGTGTGACCCTGGCAGGTCGCGTTCTCAGTCTCAGCCTCCACACCTGTAAGAGGTAGTGGCATTTACTTCCTTGAGAGAGGATTAAACGGAAACCATGCACGACAAAGTGCAGTGTATAGCCTAGAAGACTAAAGCGTAGCTAAAAACTTGGGTTCTTATTATTTCCTATAGGAAGAAGGAAAGGAGGCAAAGAATAGCTAATTTTTCCCCCTTTGTGAAAGTGGCTTCTTTATTTCGAGTACAGAAAATAAAGCTATCTTTTGGCCAGCTGCTCCAGTCCGTCCAGAATAACTTATTTCCCAGCCTTACGAAAAATACATTGGCAAGAGAAAAGTCAAAGTCTTGTAGGAGCAAGCAAGCTCTCTTTCCTTCTGGTGGCTCCCCTGGGACCCTGCCAGAGAGTGGGAGTCGGCTGAGGGCCCCCCCAAGCCCAGGTGGATCCAAAAGGAAAGGACAGGAAGTGAAGGGCTGTCCTGAGTCCTCCTCGCTGTGGGGGCCGACCCAGCGGACACCGAGGCATTTGTGGGCAAAGGCTGGAGGCCCCCACCACTTGCGAGGGGTGAGGGCTATGTCCTGGAAGGACGAGGTGGAGGGGGACACTGAGGGCTGTCAGGGAGAGGCCACCAGCTCAGTCGGTCTCTGAGGCAAGGCTCCTGGGCCGGGGCTGAGGGGGTATAGCTGGGGGAGATGGGGCCCTGCCTACAGCCTCAGGGTCCCCTCCTTCCTCTGTGGCTGCCCCCAGGTCCACCTGGGCAGGCATGCTCAAAGAGACTGGGCTGGGGAAGGTTGGACTCAGGGAGGCCTGGCTGGGGGAGGCTGGCGAACGCCGGTTCTGGCGCCGGGCAGGCTGGGGAGCGCT